AATACCCCATACAGCTCGCTTGTTCACGCCGGGAATTATTCCAACAACAGGAAATGGTTAATGTGCATTGAAATTATGCGTTTCTGGTGCTAAAAAAAAAACGTGACACTCTGACACTGCTCGGCGGGTTATAGGTATGTGTTGTTGCATAAACATATTATACTCCGACCCGTTAAAAAAGCATATAGGATATATTATACGAATATCAATAGTCTCATTTGCATGGTATAATATACATAATATATAGGTGTATACGGCAGTGTAAGAGTCGACGTACCGATAATCTACATTTTCGACAAAAAATTATATTATATTACCGCACATATTAAAATGTTCGATTAATAGGTATATTAGGTATAGTAGGTAAAACGCTAACATATTATTATATAGATGTCGAATTTAGATGTTGGATTAAAATAAAGGTCGATGATCCAATATTAAAATTAATTATAATTAGGTATTATTGTTTGTTAATATTATTCTATACGCACGACAATACGACATAATTTATGCATCTTAATTATAAGTAAAACAAATTGTTTTTAACATGGATGTAATACAAGTAAATTAAAAAACCAAATGGTTAATAAAACCCATGTGAAATATTAAATCTAATAATTAAACATTAACTGCATTTCTGACGTAGCCACGTGAATATAAAAATATCGTTTCGTCGATTCTAAACCGCGTCTTGAGTAAAGTATTCAGCACAATATGAGATTAGTATCGATAAACGGGCTCATGGTAATTTTGAAATTTATATTACAAAGTACAAACGACCACCAAATATGAACATATTTTATAAATACTTGTAGTTGTTCGAATAAATAATATTAATATGTCGTATATAGTTATAACTTATATGCCGAGTATCGTTTAAGTTATTTAAACCTCAAGGATAAATGATTGATACATGTTGTATACACTATAATAATTGACATACCTACCTCTCATTATTTTATTGTTGAGTTTCTCTATGTGATTCCGAATAAGTACCAAAATAGTGTTTACTTGTTCGTATATGTCACTGTAGAACTACTTTCATCGAAATACCGATAATTTTATAAAAGTAAAATGTTCATCGAGGTTTTATTTTCCATGACCATATTTTCTTGGTAACTCACTTATACAAGAATAAATTAATGCAGAAAACTAGATAATCAATTTTAGAACTATGAAATTTATGGAAATTAATTTCAAAAATTAGGTAGGTACCTATTTGAACTTTGATGACGTATACCACGTAGATACGTATTTACACTCGTAGAAAAATAATTTTTTTTAATGCGACCAATAACGTTGTGAACTATAAATTATAATATAGTGGCTAACTTTCCAAATAAACTTACATATTTTGCATATAGTGTATACTGATACACTTTATCAGATAGCGATTAACATAATGTAGGGCCTATTATAATACTACTATAATGTATACACATTGTAGGCAGTGAAGTAAAAAGTAATTAGAAATCTAAAACATTATCGTATAAAATTAATAAGGATAAACGTATCAGCTATACTATTAAAACTATTCAAAACATGTAAAACGTGCGTTGTAGTGAGTACCTATATTTACTCGCTTATATTATACATTTACATATTATAAACATACGAACATATTATTATGTAGTAGATAAAAGAATATCAATACATTGGTGAAATCACAAACGAATATACTCATGTGACGTGGTAAATTAGGATCGTAGTAAATAAAATCTCTGTCCCGTTGCAATGTTTTCACCGTGTATAAGGATAAAAAAACCTCCGACGAGGCGTCGATTTTTTTATTTTTTATTCTATGAGTATAGACCCAATCAGAGCCGCCCAATTGTGCCACCTATGTGGTCTTATTGATATTTAATTATATACGTTTGATACACTCTGCATATGGTAGTAATGCACCTATCTACGTGATTAATGATTCACCTGATATAATAAAATCTTTTTTTGTTATTTATATATATCTATATTTATGTATAATACATATTATTATCATGATTGTATATACATCGATACAACAAAAATAAAACAGATTCGAAGAGTAATGTATTGGGGCGTTACCATCACTACTTACTTCTCGACCATCAAAATAATGATTGTTTTGATATATTACATCGTGTTATGACAATTATAATAACTGATTGACTGGAAAATAAATAATTAACGTTTTATAGTATTAACAACTCCGAGATGCCGTTTTTCGAGTTGCTCCTATTATTATGCAGACATGACGTGATTATACATCATAATATATTATTATTATTATTGCATGTTGTTATAATATTTTGCCGGTATTACTCAAACTAAGGATCTTTCTCTATTTTTTACATTGTGGGTCGTATTGATGTTTGATAATACGATATGAGTATATGACTGCAGCTAGGCTGACAGTATATTAATTCCTGGTTGTTTCTAAAATCAACTATGTTACACTGTTTTAATATTTTGATATTATACTATGTTGTACTTAAATAACATGGCGTTATTACATTGAAAAGCTACTGTCAGTAACAAAAATCTGAAATGTATTATTTCCATTGTTTTTAATTTGAACGTTAATTTTTAGGTATAAATCGGTAATAATAGAAATACTAAATATTATAATCATTTTATTGCAACTTGAGCCCACTAGGATATAAGATCCGGAAGTGGCCAGCGGAAAGATACATTATCTATACCTACTATCTATCTATTTTTCCCCATAGCTATCTCATTAACGAACAACATTTCTAACCATGTGCTTATATTGATTTTTTTTATGTCGAGAAATTTTTTCTAGCAAATTATTATTTTTATTATGTAATTATTTTTTATTATTAACATATTTTATAATATAGGTATATTCGTATATATGATTACCCGTTGATGTAAGGTATAGGTAAAACTTTGTAAAACCAAAAGGTCTTATGCGAGTTTTCAAAATGTACTGTGTTATCATTATTAATAACTAATGAGTATTAACTGATCGAACCTAAATAATTAGTGTAATACTTTTCCTTGTACCAAATGATATTTACTCGTTTATATACACAAAAAATATTAAATATCTATCACGCATGCTTAAGAGGACGTTACACCCGCATGTGTTATTATATTTAATATATATATTTATATATAAAAGGAACGTATAATATTTATAATAATTATAAAAACACCTATTATATAATTAAAAAATGACAATATTTTGTAGGGCAAGACGGTGAGATTTAAAAAAAAAATTTTAATTTTGAAAAGTTAAAGATCATTTATTAATGTTGAAATTTTTGCTATTTCTAAACGATGTAATGAACGTTATAATGGGAATAATGAAAAAAACGGTCTCAGAAATATTGTCACAATTCAATTTTATAACAGGATGTATTTTTACTCTAGAACCAAAATTGTGCAAGTTTTACTTGTTTTGTTCATGAAGTACGTGCGTAAGCGTGGTACATGCAGGTTATATATAATCGACGGGTTAAATCTTCAAGTTCTGAAAGCTCAAATTTTATTATATTATATTATTGACTGCATTGTTCCCAAGGTTTAAGTAAATACCTTTTAAATCTGGTTACGGTCGGGGGACGTTGCAACACACATTTTGAGAAAAGTTCTAACTGTATGTCACATTATATATAATAAGCAATTACGTCTACACGACACATATTTATACATAGTACTTCCCTAATATCAATAATAATAATTTAAAAATTTACGATGATATTTGTAATAATTTTAAGTTGTAATACTCTCAAGTTATTTATAAAAATTAATATTTTACTAGGTAAGCACAGGTATATTTTATCCCAATGGTCTTTAAATTAAATTATATGTACATAAAAATGTTTAGAATAATATTTTTGCAGGTCAGAAAACGATCGCTGGCACGTACTGTACTTTCCTTATTCGCAAATACCAACGAGAGGGTTAAAAATGAAATGTAATGTAACAAAATGTCTTATTTTGATAACATTATGGAGGAAAATATAGTCTACAGATTTATCATGTATTTTTTCCCGGAGGAAAACTAACGGTGCGGGAATGCGGCACTGCGGTATCCCAATTTTTTTTAAGGAAAATGTCTCCGGCCGCCTGTTATGTCCATTACGCACACGCACACGCACACGGCGACCGTGGGAGCCAAATCGTAATAAAATAATAATAATAATAATAATATAATCGACGCGGACGAGGACGCGAAAAGCCGTCGTATACAAAAGGTAAAAACGCAGGGGAGCGCGTGCGCGTCTGTTATAATGATAATAATAATATGCGTATACCTACCACCGCGGACAATGACGATATAATATATAATAATATAATATACGCACGCACACCCGTGTGTGTGTGTGTGTGTGTGTGTGTGTGTGGAAGCGCGCGCCGCCGTACCTCTAAATTAGCGCGTGGCAGGTGTGCGCGCGTGTTGTGCACGTCTACTGTTACCGTGGTCGGAGGACGAGGCCCGAGGCGGCGCCCCTCTCGCGGGCATGCCTATAATATATTGTTGTTGTTGTGTGCGTGTCCCGCGCGCTGCACAACCGGCGGTGCGCGCACTGTGGGAATGCGACCAAGATTCCCACGGGCGCCCCGTCACACGCCGCCGCCGCCGCCGCAGCACACTTCCCGCCGCCGCCCGACCCGGCGCGGCCGTCTATATAAAACCGGCCGTGCCCTTGGGTCATGCCGTCATTCGAACGATCCGTACCGAACCGTCAACACGCGCTCATCCGTCGTTCGTTTTTTACTGTTTACATAACAGAGTATTTTTGTTTTATCTCGTCATTAGCAGTTTCAATTCTATATTATTGCATTATTATTGCCATAATAATAATAATAATATTTTAATCGTCTCGCCGTCATTTGTGTATATGTGCGATATCGACAGTAATATTGCAGTCGATATTATAATTTATTATTGACAAAATAATATCATATCATTTGGATTAATAAAATTCGAGTGTCGTTTCGAATAGTGTCGCATATTTTATATCAATAAAATAGACCTCGATTGTTTCGACATGCGTCCCGCCGCTGAACTCAGACCGTCATACCGGGTGCAGATGCACATGCAGATGCAACAGCAACAGCAACATTACCAGCACCAGCACCAGTCTGGATCGGAATATGACGAACAACCCGTTTCCCGGACTTATCAATACAGAAAGGTAAGCACAGATCACGATTAATTCAGCAAATTTTATTTCAATTTTTTTTGATTTTTGTCACTTTGTCAAATTCAATTTTCATATCAAAAGCCATCAGATATCAATTTAACGATTTTATAATATTCAGACGATCATATTATAATATACTTAGTTTCCGTTTTTAATAAAAAATTTTTTTGTCAATCAGGTTATGAAACCGCTGTTGGAACGGAAACGCCGAGCCCGGATCAACCGGTGCCTGGACGAACTCAAGGATCTGATGGTGGTCACGCTGCAGGCCGAGGGCGAGAACGTCAGCAAACTAGAGAAGGCCGACATACTGGAGCTGACGGTCCGGCACCTGCACAAGCTCAAGCGACACAACGCGCTTGGGCTAACCGGCGTCGACTCGGTTTACGCCGACAAATTCCGCGCCGGTTTCGCGCACTGCGCCACCGAGGTATCCAACTACCTGACTTCCGACGTCCGGTCGCCGCCCGTCGACCCGTCCGCCGGTGTTAAGCTCCTACACCACCTGGGCGCCTGCATGCGCAAAATCGACGTCGACTCCAACCGACCAGCTTCCGGTCCGGTCGCCACCGCCGCCACAACCGCCGACCAGTACAGGCCGTACACACCGCCGTCCACACCCGGAAGCGAGCTCAAAGAAGACCCGAATTCCGTCTGCTGGAGACCGTGGTAAACAATACTAAATTGTTTATTTCCAAAAAAAACATGTCGTTATTTCGTTTTTAATCTCTCATGACCCCCCCCCCCCACCATTGCACCCTCCAAAGACTGATGTTCGACCCGAGGTGGAGATATTGTATATTATTATAATATTTTATAGGCAGTTATCGGTTATATAGGTATTATAATATTATTGTATTATTGTGCGTTTATACGACGAGTTTGTTGTTCGCTCATAACTTATATTATTTATTTTTTTCTCGATTGTATTTTATGTTGTAATTTTTTTTTTCTTATTCGGCGACCATTCCTTTTCGGGTATAAAATATATTTTATAAATGTATAATATTGTAATGGTTGCAGAGGATACGGCACTACGGCTATTTACCAAAAAAATTCAAAAATACCTCTTTCTTTGTACTTATATATATTATGTATGTTGTATATAATATATATATATATTTTATAGCATTGAAATAGAGCTTAAGAAATTTTTCTATTGTGTAATAATAATATATAATTTATATTATTTAAAAATAATATATGTATTCTGCAGACGTGATACATGATATTATAATATTGTAATAATATTAAAACATGTATTACAGTAGTATGTAGAAATTCCGCGCTTGTGCGGAAGACCTAAGAAAAAAAAAGCATATCTGTGATAATAATAATATGTGTTTTACTAGAATACATTTATAAGTCTATTCAAACATCTTAAGCGTCTTGTTGTTTTTTACCTCCAAAAAAAAAAAAAAGAAAAGAAAATCGATCAATCAATCAATTTGCTGTCGTCGAAACGATAATATCATGCTCGGACCGCCGACGATAAGTCAATTTGTGCTCGTACGTGACTAAACCGTTCGGTTCTGGGAACCGGTCGAAAGGGGAACGGTGAGAGAGTTAAATAGAAGAGAGGAAAAAAGAGATGAAAAAACTATTCTCTATAAATACAGGTATATACCAACGACACGGTGGAGGTATACATGACTGGTGGCAGTCTACACGTAGGAAACAATATAATAATAATATACGAAAACACGACGACGGGACTATTATAACAGCTATAATAGTAATAATGATAATATGACGATTCACCGCCGGGGCCGGTATTGTTCGGACGACGAAGACGACGACGGCGACCAACGAAGCCAAGTTCTCACGGTGTGCCGGACCGGTGCGGCGGCGTGCGGTGGCGCGCAGAAACCGTGACCGATTATGCGGGCACACACACGCGCGCGCACACACACACACACACATACGAATTTACACGAAAACACACGCTCACACTGGCGCGGGGATACGCACAAAAACACACACGTTTGCAGGCGCGCACAAAAAATACACAATCCGATACGTGTCGTGACGAGCGAGGCGCGCGTATGTGTGTGTGTGCCCCCTCACATATGATAATAATATTTTTATTATTACGTGTTTGTATTGACGTTATTGGTTCCGGTATTTACGATCCGCGTCGGTGTGCGCGACGATCGCCGCGGTGTGTTCACGTCCCGTGGTAAGCGGCGCGCCGTACGTGACCGGCGATCCCATCACACGCACACTAATCGCGCCGACCGCACCGGACGATACACAAAAAAAGTACGCGCAGTGTGTGTACACTATAATAATATTACTTAGGTATATTATTGTTGTGTAGGTACGATATAAATAATACTACACTATACGACTGTACACAATAATATGATAATAGTGTGATGTGCTTTTACGACTTGGGAAGACATAATATTATTATCGACATTTTTTTTTTTATTCTATTTTTAAGTACCGATTTTGTCACACGCGACGACGACTTCGTGTACATATGGCTAATATTATAATTAAGATTTATTACAATAATATTATTCGATTGTCCACTGGAGGCGACATCGGAAAAAAAAAATAATTTACCGATTTCATTGTTGGTCGTTGACCGTTGTATAGATAATTTTATTTAGGATTATCTTCTGCCGAGTTCGTTTCGAGTGACTCAAACTCAATCTGTTCCCAATTCAGAATTTTTCATTCACAGGATCATTAATGATTTGATATTAATAAATAATAATCATAATAATTCATAATCACATACATAAATGTTTAGAGCTCCTCTTCAGTGTCAATAGAACTAGGAGCGACCAAAACGGTCAAACCGATAGCTTAAATAGTTATTTTATCATAAGTTTTAAAATTGGTAGTTTTCAAATATATTCACTATATATCGCTATAGGTATAAGTATTAAAAATAAACTGACCACTTCACGCTTTTTCATGAAGATTATATTATTATACTCTCGGCCTCAGCTATATTTCTATGATATTATACAACATTTATAACCCAATACCTTTGGGTATTGAATAAATAAAATCTACTCTCCAAGACCCCAATTCTTCTATCTCAAGTCCTTTTCAAAACCCCACCTCTCATCCTGTACTCACCAATATGTTAAATTTCATATTTCTAGATCACTGATATATACTTACTCGCATCACTCATTATGAATTTAATATATAATTATGCCTATATGAACATTTTTCACCGTTTTATATCCATTATGGACAGCCCCGCCTAATTTTCCCCTCTCGTATCTATACGCACTTAACATATATTTTATTATACGAAATTCTCTAAAAAAATGTATATTTTAGTATACATATTCATATATATATATATATTATAAGTACATTAGTAAATAAACAATATCATTACGCAGTTAGGTATATGGCAGAAAATCGGTGGTGGCCACGCACATTGTGTATTTTTTTATATTTTCACACGACGCGCATAACATATTATACGAACATTACGGACATTATATACATATATATGTATAATAACGTGTTATATACGAGCGTCCGTGAATAATGGTTCAAGTAAAAAAAAATAAGACTTCTCCGTCACACGCGCGCGGGTATACAAGTACCTATACCTATATATAAAGCCATATATGTACTACACATCTGCAGCAATGACTTTATTTTATTATTATTATTATTATACGTAGTACGCGTGTGTGAACGTTTGGACAATACCGGGAGGCTCGGGTTCTATCGAGTACTGCGCAAGTGCAGCGCTGCAACGTCCGATGCAGGTCGGAGAGAGATGAAAAACGGTTTATTTTTTTTTTAGGAGAGGTCGAAGACTCGACGCTGCGCCGGCGGAGAAGGAAAAGACCGTAGTGAAATCCATTTAGTAGAGGCCGTCCCCATCCGGTCCGGGACACACCGGAAACGCATATAATATGTATATATAGTGTAGTACACGCGGACGTCGTGTACAGACGTATTTCGGTTTTCTCTCTCCGTCGGACTCTGCAGCGTGTGCGCGAGATAGTGTTTGTCTCTCTCGGAGGTGAGAGTATAATATATATTATGTATATATATTGTATAGCAGTGCTGGACGTATTGTAGTGGCCTAATCAACTCGGCTATTATATTATATATTATTATTATATTCTAACTAGACGCCACCGTCGATCGGCTCAACTATAGTAGGCCGTTATGAGAGTTGTGTGCATAGTACATACCTATTTACCATATTATTTGAACCCGATTTTATGAACAAAAATATTATTTTATCAGGTAAAACAAATTTTTTCACACCATGTAATTTAAAATTTAGACGTTTTTTCTAAAATCTCAGGATGCTCACAGTCCATGAGAAACGATGATGAGGCTCGGACTCAGCATCCCACCACTGATGTGCTTACCTATAGCGGAAACAAATAAATAAATAATGGTACTTCGGGATGTCGGGAGCCCTATGGGCTATGGCGTTGATACATTCTCGTCGTGCCCTCACACGTCGGTCGTGTATCGGCCTAGGTGCGAAGTCGATGGTGGTAACGGGAGTTACAATGTGGTTAAAAGACTGTATGCTGGTCTGGGGAAAGGCAGCCGAGTATAAATGGCCGTGCAAACGCGTATGTTGTGAGGCGGGCGAGTGTGACGAGGTATATCTCCTTAGCACACAGTCACAATGCACACCCATCCTGTCGTTGTGGCTATATATATAAATATATGGGAGGGCCGTGTTTGCGCCTAAATGCCGTATTTGCGCCTATACGCAAAAACCTCGATTGCGCTTAAAATACGTTAAAATACTTGTTTGCGCACATAACGTTACAAATCAATAAATTTGGCAACAACGTTTTCCCAACTATTTTCATTTTTGAACCACTGTGAAATATTGGGAAATTGAATTTCTATATCAGTCGTGACTCGATAGGTATACCTTCATAGGATACTTATCTTTAATCATATCTAACTTCTTATCTACATTGTCGATATACGGCATTTTACGTCGGTATTTCTAAAATCTCGATCGCAGATAGTCAGTCGTCGCTGTACTTCACTTAATAACACATTTCAGTTTGGTGTATTTTGTTTCAAAAATGACAGAAAATAACATTTTATTAGCAAAAGGTGCGAGTAACAATTTTAAAGATTTACTTATAATCGACAGTTTTAAATTCAGAAAAGTTTATGAAAGTATATCTGGTAATGTAACTTGGCGTTGTACAATGAAATCGTGTTTAGCAAGACTAATTAAAAATGGAAATGTAACTGTAAGTAGCAATTTAAATCATAACCATAATACTGATGAAAAAAAATTAAATCGTCAAATTATTCGAAGTGCGTGTAAAAAAAGAGCCAAAGACATGACTGATCGTCCAATTAAAATTATACGTTCTGAAATTACAAAGAATAATTTTGACACGTTAGATTACGGTGACGTTAAATTAATTCGTGACAGAATGTACCCGTGTAGAAACACACAAACAAATATTCCAAAAAATATTGTTGAAGTTCAAGAATTTTTAGTATCGAATAATATGTTATCATCTAAAGGAGAATCAATGATTGCAGTAAATGACATAGAAAAAAATATTGTAATTTTTACGTGTACCACGAATTTGCAATTTTTAAGTTTAGTTAATACTACGTATATACGTCGATGGTACATTTACTTATTGCACAAAATTTTTTTGTCAACTTTTCACAATTCATGGATTT